GGTATTAACATCTTTGTGGGGACCAAACATTGGATGTTTACTATACTTGTGGGGACCGACAGCCCTTGTGGGGACCGATCTCGGTCCCAATGAGTTTGAAGGCTTTTTTGAGACTCAAATTGTTGTTTTAGTGTCGGGGTTACAATTAGGTTATGGTTACGTTTAGGGTTAGGGTCAGGGTCAGGCATTCATTTTTGATGGTCAGGGTTAGGGTAAGGGGTTAGAGAAACCATTACGTCAATGAGATGCCCCCACAAGGATATAAATACACATGTGCGTGTGTGTTGAAATTTGTCGCCTTTAAATTTGTGTTTCCAGTTCTTTTTCCAGCATGTTTTAAACCCTCATAAAAAACCTTCATAAGTAAGCACATGAAACCAAATCAATTTTACCCAAAGTGCACTTTTTAAAGGGTCAAATGATATAACAAATATGAAATTGATATGAAAGGTCTTATTATTATCTACATTTTGATAGTAGATAAGCCATCTTATCTACTAGTCATCTTTATGCTGTAAAAAAAAACCAGCTGATTCTAAAGGGATCAGGTGGGAATGTTTTTTTTTTTTTTCTATATGTATCGACCCAATTGGGAAAACCGGGAATTAAAGGGAAATAACAGCAGGATGTTCAGGTTTCCCTCGACTGTGGTGTGAAAATAACACACTTTAACATGAATACAACTTTATGCTTCACTTCATATTTCCACATATGAAACATGCTTATAGGTTTTCTGTCATGTTGCTTTTGCTTAATGTCATTGTGAATGTGTAAATGTAAATCATCAGGCCGCATATTGCAATAGCTACAATGAATAAATATTGCCAGTCAAGCTTACAAGTGTGACTTTGTGACATCATGACTAGTTTTGAATATGACTGTAGATGTCAAGTGGCAACGTGAGTCAACGTCCAAATTCAATTTTCAGGGTTTTTTTGTTTTATTTATATGGTGCCAAATCGCAACAGTTGCCTCAAGGAACTTTCTATTGTAAGGTAAAGAACCTACAATAATACAAAGAAAACAGAGAAAACCCACCAATAATTTGACTCCCTGTGAGCAAGAGTTTTGGTGAAAGTGGGAAGGAAAAACTCCCTTTTAGCAGGATGTAACCTCCAGCAGAACAAGGCTCAGGGAGGGGCGGCCATCTGCTGCAACCATTTATGGGTGACCGAAAAAAAAACAAAAAAACCCACATGCTGTGCAAGAGAGCCAAAGATGAATAATAATGTGGTTATGGGTAGTGTCATAACGGCTATACAGCATTTCAGAGGATTTACTCTGCTCTGGGTCTTCTAATAAGAATTTGAAGCGCTTGCTGTACACCGCTCCTGCGTCTGACTTTCGGACACGGTGGTCCTGACTTGACTTTTGTGAAAAACGGATATGGAGCATATTTTTAGCAATGCAGAAAGAGACTTTGTGACTCTGCTTTCCCCCAGTGGGTTTCTTTGCAAAGTTTCATACTGTTCTGCTATGAATTGCTGTTACAGCCTTATACCAAAGGGTACAAATATAATCAACACTTTAAGATGTCAAGCAAGTGAAGGTCTCTTTAGCTTGTAAACGGCAGATGCAAACGAGCTATACCAACACGTTACATACCAACGATATGTGACAATTCGTCTGTATGTTACGCATTCTGAGGCATGAGAGTAAAAAGGGAATAAAAAGGGAAGTGCATTCGCTTCAATTAAGAATCTGGAGTGTTTCATAAGGATGCGGAAGGGTACCTTTCCCGTTACTATGACACGCCTCGAGCCGTGACAAATCGATGGTATGTTACGCGTCGGGAATGAGAACGCTCTGATTTAATTTAGAAACATTAAAACAATGAGAGCTGGAAAAAGTATTTGTAATTTCATTGATTTAAAGATGTGTTTGTTTGTTTTTGTTTTTACTTGTCAGTTATATAATTTGCTTTCTTTCTCCAAAAGAAAATATTGTTGGTTTTCTATTAACATTTATTAGACAATTTTATCGCCTTCTTGATACCATTGCAACACCTTGATTCTTAACTTTTTCAGCCATTCTGTCACTTCCGTGCTGCATGACCCAATTTGGACATAGCTTTATCCGTTTTCACAGACGAGCTAACGTTTAAACTTACAGTTGACTCAGTGAATGCACAGTAGGGTCCTGTGGTTGCAAAGCTAGCCAAAAGCATGACCACTCCAGCACCGTGCTTGCTTGCTTGACAGTTGGCATGAGGTGTTTGGGCTGATGTTAGTTGTCACCATGAATCTTTTACAGTAGTTTTCAAACCCTTCAATCAGCAATATAACATTAAAATATAGCAACACAAACAATAAAATAAACATAAATATAATCTTACATAATTAGTGACAAAAAGCAACACACAAAGATTTTACAGATATAGATTCTTCTTTATTTGAGTGTCTTTCCATCACTGTGTCCAGTTCTTGCAGCAGTTACATGTGTTTTTGTGGAATGACTGACTGGCTCAAGAAATTTAATATTATTATTATTTTTTTTCTGATTATGACCCCGTGGCTGGATCCAGCAATATAGAAGAACAAATCAACTTTGAGGTTTCACCATTTTGTTTCTACATACAAACTGTACATATATACTTTTACACACGTCATCAACATGTGGAACAAAAAAAAAAAATCCTATCAAACTGTGATACCCAGCTCAGACGGCATGCTAAATGCAAGTACTGATTCAGTACATGAACATACGCTACATACGCACGCGCACGACACAC